CCCAGGCCTCGAATAATCGTGTCTCCTCTTCCCAAATTGTCCATTTTTGTTTACAAGCCGAAGGAAAATTCGGGAGAATTTAGTGTACTTCGTAATCCGCAGCGCATTAAAATCGAACTTTTTTTAAAACAGTAGTCTCACTTTTTTAACAATTTATACAGCGTAGCTAGAGGACAATCAGGGAGAATTAACTGTATAGCTCGGCGTGTTTACGATTTATTTCCGATCTTTCGCGATCTCGAGCTGTCACGGTTACACTCTGCGGATTCACGAGAAAATCTGAGCGAAAAAATCGCCGAACGATATAAGGTTTCTCGAAAACCTCGCGGCGTAATGAATCTCTCGATTTTCAACGCACTCGGCACAATCGGACGTTCCAGCGCGGGTTGCTGGTTTCAGAAGTCAATGGAAGCATTCGAGCACGAGATATTTAACGCGAGAATGTTTGCGTTGCATAAATCCGTGAAGCGTTTAAAATTTATTTGCTGTTCGCGTCGTGTTATCGAATCTCGACAATATGCCATGAATTTTCCATCTGATAATTCGGCACTCCCGCCGCGGGTGCTCCTTTTTCGTTCGGCAGCCGTCGATACGAATGTGCCGGAATTAATTCGGAGATGCAATCGGTTCTTCGGTAAATTTACAGAGTGTCCCATATAATTATGTTAACACCTGGGATGGGGCGATTCCTGAGGCCATTTGAAGTAACCTTTTCCTTGGCGAAAATGCAATCCGCGGCTTTGTTTACGAGTTAGTCATGAAAAACAGTGACCAATCAGAGGCGAGCTCAATACAGCGGCTGAGCCAACGAGCGGTCGAAGCCCAGTTCCACTGATTGGCTTGGCCGCCTAGCGCTAGGCGAGCTCGCCTCTGACTGGTTCGGTCGCTTAGCGCTAAGCGAGCTCGCCTCTGACTGGTTCGGTCGCCTAGCGCTAAGCGAGCTCGCCTCTGATTCAGCCGCCTAGCGCTAAGCGAGCTCGCCTCTGATTGGTTCGGCCGCTCGCGCCAGCTGAACTGGGATTCGACCGCCTCGACCGCTGGCGCCGTTGGCTCGGTCGCCTCGACCGCTGACGTCATTGGCTCGGCCGCCTCGACCGCTGCCGCCGTTGGCTCGGCCGCCTCGTGCCGGTTGAGCTGGGTTTCGACTGCTCGACCGCTCGACCGCTGGCTCGGTCGCCTCGCGCCAGCTGAGCTCGCCTCTCATCGGTCACTGTTTTTCGTTAATAACTCGTAAACGAAGCCACGGATTGCATTTTCGCTAAGGAAAAAGTTACTTCAAATCATCTCAGGAATAACCTCTTTGCGGGTGTTTAGATAATTATGGAACAACCTGTAGAAGAAATCGAAATATCGATAACGATTGCACATGCGTTTCTCTTTCTACGATTTTCTCGTGGCGATAGAAAACAGTAATTGGGTCGATGGAAACGCAGAATAGGGTAAGCGAATCAATTACCGTACCTCCTGTGATTACTGTGCCCTTACAATAATTTTACTTATATTTGAAAACAACATTATTAAATTGAAGATATTTAATTTTTTAAGTAACATTTGATCTGTAATTTTCATAGCCGAATCAAAACATTAACTTTTTACAATACATTTCTAATATAAGGTTTGTAAATGAAGATGAAAGAAATGCAGAAATTATGCTTTCTAAAATAAAAGAGTAAACTATTGTATTAACGAAACTCGTCTAAATTACAGAAAAATAATAATATGACCGACTTGTTAAATATATGTTTTTATTCAATGTAAATTCGGTAACTGAAACAAATTTACGTCTTGTTTCTATTAAAGTAGTAACCGGATTAAGTTTTTATATCTTTTCCGATGCGTTGATTACCAAGCAAAAACTCTCACTGCAAATATCGCGTTACATTCCAACCTTACTTTCCTTTTTCGAATAATATCGTAAGTATTGAAACGAATATGCATAATAAATTTTGCTAAATAATTTACTACAAAATATTTCATGTTCTTATATTTGTGTTATATAATTATTTACCTAGACTAGTCGCAGTAATTGAAGCACGATAATTGGATCAGTGTACAGAAATTGACACTCGATAATTAGATCATCGCACAGAAATTGATACACCATAATCAGATCAGTCATCACTCGGTAACCGACACACGGAAATTAACTTTTCATCTTTTTTAGGGCACGGTAATTTGCTCCATTTTTGCTAAGTATTTCGTATTGTTTATATATTTCTCTTACGAACAAATCCCTACTTGTATAAAGCACATCGACGTATAATTGAAACGTTTCGAGAAGTACGATATAGGTACAAAAAAAAATCTATTTAATTTGTCGAGAACTCCGGACGTCGCTTGAATGGGCACAGTAATTGATACACTTAACCTGGTACAATCAGGATCGAAAGAATGAAATACGAGACAGCTTCTGCGCCAAACAAATATTAAAAGGCCGCCGGTATTACGCGGAGTGTATTTCTTCTGTTAATAATTGAAAAAAAATAATGAAATTTGTATAAATCATTCGAGTACGCATTTATTCAACGAGCCGGATAAAATTCCTCTTCAAGTGCAAGGATATAAATTACGAACAACGCGATAGTGGATAGCGTTGGTCGGCGAATGCAATCGGTTTCAACAAATTATGAATTATTTAATTAGACGTAATTGGCTTTTAATTGAAGAAACCGGAACAGAGTTACGGCAAAATATCTGCGAAGCAATTTCGCGATCAATGTCCCGGGAACGGTTGATTGAACTGAAACGAATAAGATCTGTTTCTTTCTTTTTTTTTCGTACTGATATTTAAAAGATTGCTGCCTTCGCTTGCTAATGATCCGAGTGAAGTAGTAAATACAAAGGTGCCGTTAATGTTTCGATATTTCCACAGATTTCGCTTATTTCGTCGCATTGGTCGTTTGGTAATTTTGTAAATGGAACACGAAAATGTTTAGAAGGAACCATAACAAATTGAGTATCGAAGGCATTTGTTTAACAATCGGTACTAATTGACTAATTTAAATTTTTGCCACGTTCCAAATTTTTCAACTTACGATTATCGAGATTATAATGATACATTCGTGAGAAATTTATTGAATAAACTATTCAATAAGTTCGATAAAAATCTGCATAAATGTATGCTCGTTTATTTTTCATAGCAACATAAAAATAGCCGCGCTTAGTGTTCCGTGAAACTAGTATTAATAAACGTGATAAAAACGTCTTGATTTGCGTAAAATATGATTGGCGATACACGATTATCGAGAAATAATCGAAACGAACGTGCCGGTTAATTTAGCATTCCGGATAATAGGACAATCTATTAAAACAGTTAAAACGGTTAAAATAATGCCCGAATCACTGAGAGCGTCTAATGAACATTAAAAAGAGCCGAATCGAAATGAAACCAGACCTTCTCCACTTCGTTAATGCCTGTACCAAATTAAACGTGAAATGAAGCTGCATATTAACGATACACAGAATTAGTCGATTCGACGGTATAATGGATTTCAGAGTTTTTGTATCTTAAAATTGTGAAGGCGCGTTTGCGTGATTTTACCGAAAACATTTATTCGAGCACGGCAATCAGAGTTGCGCAAAATGGAAATAAATGCAACATCGTTATTTTTACAAGGCAATCGAAGCTAGCCACTTGGAAAGCTCGCGTTAACAGTGCCTCGTTCGAGCCGACTTTGCGTTTAACAATTCTCTGAACGTTTCCGAACGCGCAGGTTATTTCTGACAATGAAAATCAAATTTGTATTCGACCAGTAAAATTTTAATGAAATTCGCGTTCAGTCGATTCGTGAACATTTCGAATGCGCATCTTATTTTTGACAATGGAAATCAAATTTGAATCGCCCCGGTGAAGTTCAAATCGAATTTGCATTTAGCTAATTTTTGTACGTTTCGAATGCGCATCTTATTTTTGACAATGGAAATCAAATTTGAATCGCCCCGGTGAAGTTCAAATCGGATTTGCATTTAGCTAATTTTTGTACGTTTCGAATGCGCATCTTATTTTTGACAATGAAAATCAAATTTGAATCGCCGCGGTAAAGTTCAAATCGGATCTGCATTTAGCTAATTTTTGTACGTTTCGAATGCGCATCTTATGTTTGGCGATGAAAATCAAATTTAAATCGCTCCGATAAAGTTCAAATCGGATTTGCATTTAGCTTAATTTTTGTACGTTTCGAATGTTCAGTTTCATTCGCGACAGTCGCGATCAAATTTTGACTCGACCCGATAAAATTGAAACCAATCTTGCGTTCATTGACTTCCGGAATATATTGCGCGCGCGGTTTATATTTAACAGACCGAACCGAGAATCCGACTCGTTCCGATCAAATTTAAATTAGAGTTTTGCACTTAATAATCTCGTTCAACATCTAGACCCCGCAGTTTACGTCTTCGCCGGCGAAATTAAATCTGACTCGGTTCCGGTAAAATTGAAATCGATCTTGCGTTCATTAACTTCCGGAACGTGTCGCACGCGCGGTTTATATTTAACAGACCGAACCGAGATTCTGACTCGCTCCGATCAAATTTAAATCAATTTTGCACTTAATAATTTCGTTCAACATCTAGAGCCCGCAGTTTACGTCTTCGCCGGCGAAATTAAATCTGACTCGGTCCCGATCAAATTGAAATGAATCTTGCGTTCATTAACTTCCGGGGCATTTCGAAACGCGCAGTTTATTTGTAACGGGCGAAATTAAAAATTTGAACCGTTTCAATAAAATTCATATGAATCTTACTTCGATATATATGTGTATATTTCTCTCTCTTTTTTTTCAACTGCTGCACGTACGGCATATTTGTGACGGGTGAAATTAAATTGAAATCGCACTCGTAAAACTCCAATCAAACTCGCGGGTTTAATCATTTCTTCGCAATTTCTGAACGTGCAATTTATTTATTGTTACGCTGGAAAACGAAGTTTGTAACGCGCCAGTAAATTGCCAAGCGATAAATGCTGCGAGTTGTCCGATCATCTGTCCTTTCGTTGTCCACAGAACCGGTGACGTCGATCGTCGGCGAGCCAGAGATGTTCATAAACAGGGGCAGCACGATGAATCTCACCTGCGTGGTTCGTCACAGCCCGGAACCGCCGACGGCGATCTACTGGACCCACGATCGCAAGGTATTGCATCCGGTGCAACGTATAATGTTTCAATCATTGCATGCTATCTGCGCGAAACCAAAGATTTAAGGGGCAATTCTCTGCTCAACTTTCGCGCAACGGGATTTCAGTCCATTTTAATCGCTACGTTTAAATATTAATCTCTTGTCAGTTCGATCGAATTATTAACTATTCGTATTGCACATTATTTACATATTACATAGCAAGTTATTAGCAAGATATACTGGGTGTCCCAAAAATGTCTCGCAATCCGGAAATGGTGGATTCCTTGGGTTATTTGAAGTAACTTTTTCCTTAGCGAAAATGCAAACCGCGACTTCGTTTACGAGTTATTAATGAAAAACACCAACCAATAAGAAGCGAGGTCTGCTGACGCGAGGCGGCCGAGCCAACGAGCGTAGCTGGGCTCCGCGCGCTCGTTCGACCGCCTCGACCGCTGGCGCCGTTGGCTCGGCCGCCTCGCGTCAGCAGATCTCGCCTCTCATTGGTCACTGATTTTCGTTGATAACTCGTAAACGAAGCCGCGGTTTGCATTTTCGCTGAGGAGAAAGTTGCTTCAAATGATCTCAGGAACCCTCCGTATCCGGATTACGAGACATTTTTGAGAAACCCTGTATATTTACGTCCATATTTTTAATCTTTTACGGATAAGACATTGTACACGTATATATTTATTAGAATTGAATAAATTGCGGAATCTACTTTTGAACAATGTTTGTAAAGAAAAATATAATTATAAGATGANCTGTATATAAGGTATATATGTATATAAGGTATATAACAAGACATACAGCAAGATATTATTCACATGTTAAATTAGAAATTATCAATCATTTATATTGGATTTTATTTGCATATTATATTAGAAATTATTGCCTATTTATTTTAGATATCATTTACGTATTCCATTACAATGTATAAACTATTTATATTAGACAGGACTGGCGTACTATATTACAAACTATTAACTATTCATATTAGGTACGATTTACATATTATATTACAAGTTATTAAGTATTTATATTGGATATTATTTACAAATTATATTACAAATTATTAATTATTTTTAGTTTCTAGATCTAGATCGAAAGAAGCAGGTACATAAATGTACGAAAAGAAATTGCTACTCAAACATTTGAATGAACCTGTTAATATAAATTTTTTTTTATAAATGATAAGAAATTTTTAATCATAAAGATAATATTTTTATATCCTCCGCTAGCCGCGAAGTGATGTACAAAAATAAAATTTATTTGAAGGTTAACAGTTTTTTACAGATACAAGTTCGTTTTTTGTCGGCTAAACGATGAAACATAACGTTTCACGCGGTCAGTTATTTTGCCGAAGTTTACTTAACACGAAAAACTGTTGAAATGAAAATGTTGAGTGACATAAACGCGCGCCGTGATTACATTGATTTGAGTTGGTTTGAACGGAATCCCGTGTTTTTCAACGGCGCTATATATTCGAAATGAAACCCGGTCGATATTTAATCAGCGCAGTATTAAATACCGATGCGAAACTGTTCTATAGTAAATGGTTAACGACAAACAACTTTTAATCATCGTAGTTACGAAAGAACTCGTAATAAAACTCAGCAGTTAGCCGATCTGGTAATTAAGACCAACAATTTCAATCACGGACAAACATATATCGTTTCGATTATTTTCGACGCAGATTTTCCAAATTAAACTTTTGTAGATCGTACGCATCTTTTTGCAAATAAAATTCCGTTTGCGGGTCTTATTCGTCGTTTTGCAAATGTAATTCACTTCTCTGTACTTATTCGTAATAAAATCCATATTAAATTTAAAAATTAGATCAAAAGACATGCTGCTGTATATATTTACACGAATTCATATTAAATGTAATAACTGAATGACAATTTATAAATATGTTTTATGAATTCGTATTAAATTTCGCAATTGAATGACATTTTATAAATACCTACATGAATTCATATTAAATATAATTAATGAATTGAAACGAATTTTGATCTGTGAAACAGTTAATTTTATTTTCTAAAAAATTAATATAATTTACAATCCAACGCGAAATCCTGTTTTAAAATTTTTAAATAAATATTCTAAATATTCCATCATAAGAGACAATTGAACAGAAATTAAGAAAACTGGCGAATAGTCCAAATTCAGCCTCGACACATTTCTAAAGCTCTAGTGTTAATTAACCTTCAACTGCGGACACAGTTTGACAGACTCCACTGTAAATATTATTGCTTACCAATGCGTTTTATTTTCTCTGCAATTTTAAGTTTCCTATAGCTATGAAGTATTTCGCAATAAAAATGCGCGATAAATGTCACACTTAATTGCTGTGCAGAAAATTAATATCCAAATCATTTTATAAACAACATATTTTAGCGAGAGTCCGACAGACTCCTTGTCCGTATTATTATAACAAAGCCACTGTAACTGAATAATCCCAGATAAGTTGATAACAGGTTCGTATTAATTATCGTTGCAAATACAATAGTATTCCGAAGTCAAAATATCTATCTATATCAATTCTGTGGCCAATAAAACCCGTTCCGATAACAACAGTTTCGCGCGGATGAAAGGAAGCAACGCGTTTTAAATAGAGACAGCGCGTACGAGTGAATTTCGCAGAGAACCACGCGGAAACGCAGAACAATCGGCATCGGGATCGCGGTGCGTGGGCGGCAGCGGCGACACGCGTGCAACCGATGACGATCGCGGTTGAAGAAATCCCGAAGTAAAGTGGAACGGGGGCGTGCATGGTCGCCAGCACGGTTATCGATCACCATTAGCGTGGACGAGCGGCTGACGTTAATGCGGGACTCGAAATCGGGGGAATCATCAGGATTTTTGCGTCGTCGCGCCGAACCGCGCCGAACCTTGCCGAGCGGCGGCGGTGCCGAGCCGAGTCGAGCCGCGCCGCGCCGTGCGTCGTCCGTGTCGAGTCGAGCCGCGCCACGCCGTGCGACGTCGGCGCCGAGCCGAGCCGAGCCGTTCCGAGCGGAGTCGAGCCGTGCCGCCGATTTTCGTCCGGCAGTAACGCGTGTCACCGGGAAAACGACCTATTAATGACACGGCGGTAATGACGTTTCGCCGATAACTCGGACGAATTGAATTTGTAACGGGAAAAGTTTCCCAAGCCCCGCCTCGGCCGCGTCTCTGACGGGCGGCGCGAGGGGGACGCTAACGAGGGTGGGGGGGAATGAAATTTTCCGCGTCGCTGTGTACGTGAGTTATGAACATTGTTCGCCCGTTACCTTCCAAGTAGCCGGTATCGGCCACTTGATCGCAGAACGTCTGCTAACTCGATTGGACGGTTGTTTCGGAAAAACTATGGCAAGGTTAATCCTCCTGCGGTGTTCATAGAAACTTCTGGTGGCGATGTCCGGGTCATGTAGACCATATGGTTTCAATGCAAGCGCTTAACTCCTTGCAGTACCATTATATTCACGATTGCAATGATTAAATGTTTTTCGATTGTAATCATTTCTTGGGAGAGAACAAAATTGATATTTATGGTATGTCTTCACTTTAGCGCTTGAATATTAATGTCGAGGGAATATAATTTGATCTCGCATTTAAAAAACGGAATAATATTCTTAACAGGTACTTAACGGGTTATTTTATTAGAAATCACTTTTTTTACGATTTTACGTTTTACGATCTTCTACGCGATTTAATGCTAATTTAATTAATTTCATTGACGGAAAAGAAATGTTTCCATTACAAGCAGAATTGTTCTTCGTAATTTTTGCTGACGTAGAAAAATATGTCAGGACAATTTTGTTCGGTTCAAAGTTGAGAACATCATGTTTCAGGTATTTTTTTTCTCAAGGTAATTTTTTTCAAGTATTGAAGGTCATCACTATTTTTTTGCACATCAACCCCTATTTTTTATAACGCAGCACTATGGTTCACATCGAGACGAATTCAACGACCTCTGACACTATGACCTTTAAACGACCTTTAAGAAATAAGGGTCAATGTGAAAGACGCATGACAAACGTTATTTTTATAAAACGCATTTCTCTTCGCACCCTGAATTTCTCAGTACACACGATGCAAAGCAAATGAAGAATATTCTGGAGATCGCAAAATTTGCATAATGTTATGAAAAGATATGTCGCATATTTTGCGGAGTCTACGAAATCATAGCGCGTTATTTGAGCGAACGCGCTGAACTGTTTGTCGAAAAAATACCCAACTTTACTATTCGCGATATTTTTCTGGCCCAAGCATCGAAGGTATTCGGTCAAATATTTTTCTCACATCCAAGTTTGAGGGCTGTTTTCATCCCTTCGATATGACGATTGCCGATAAAAAGAATACGTGTCAAATATTTCTCCGAGATCTGGTTTCCGGCAAAGTTTCATCGGCGACCCGCCTCGAATCCTGAAGAGACTTTTCGAATAGTAAAAATCGCATCGCGGCCCGAGGAATCCACGAGTGATACATCTGTTTAACCTGCTTCCATAGAAAATCGTCGAAAAATTCATAAGTCGTTGTTCCTTCCAATTACGATTTTTCCAGGTTAACCCGAGAAAGATAATCTACGTCGCAGAGGCGCCTGCGAAATAAACAACTGACTGCACCGTTTTCATAGAGGTCTAGTGATTTAAGTTTAAAATTACTTAAAATATAAAAAAATATAATATAAATGCATTTTATTTTTACAATAATGCCGAACCTTTAAAATGACTAGATTAACTTAAATAAATATCCATTGTTAGTATAAAATTGACGCCTTAGAAAAGCATGCGCCTCTGAAGCGTATGGTTATCTTTTACGTACGTTGTCATATGGTTATCTTTCTAGGGTTAAGAACGATCTCGGCCGATTCCGAGCAGCTTTAAACTTCTTTCGCAGTTCGTCCTTCGGAGTAGTATCCCCGAATTAAAGAATCGTTGTTGTTCGACTTTTGCTTAACCAGTTATTATGTTACAGAATATTATCGCCGACACTTATTTATTTACTCAATTTCGCGGTGAAACGGCAACGTTTTCT